ATTACTGTGAAGCTGGAACTAACTAACTATGACTGACACATTACTGTGAAGCTGGAACTAACTATGACAGACACATTACTGTGAAGCTGGAACTAACTATGACTGACACATTACTGTGAAGCTGGAACTAACTAACTATGACTGACACATTACTGTGAAGCTGGAACTAACTAACTATGATTGACACATTACTGTGAAGCTGGAACTAACTAACTATGACTGATACATTACTGTGAAGCTGGAACTAACTATGACTGACACATTACTGTGAAGCTGGAACTAATAAACTATGACTGACACATTACTGTGAAGCTGGAACTAACAAACTATGACTGACACATAACTGTGAAGCTGGAACTAACTATGACTGACACATTACTGTGAAGCTGGAACTAACTATGACTGAAACATTACTGTGAAGCTGGAACTAACTAACTATGACTGACACATTACTGTGAAGCTGGAACTAACTAACTATGACTGACACATTACTGTGAAGCTGGAACTAACTATGACTGACACATTACTGTGAAGCTAGTACTAACTAACTATGACTGACACATTACTGTGAAGCTGGAACTAACTATGACTGACACATTACTGTGAAGCTGGAACTAACTAACTATGACTGACACATTACTGTGAAGCTGGAACTAACTAACTAAGACTGACACATTACTGTGAAGCTGGAACTAACTGACTATGACTGACACATTACTGTGAAGCTGGAACTAACTAACTATGACTGACACATTACTGTGAAGCTGGAACAAACTAACTATGACTGACACATTACTGTGAAGCTGGAACTAACTAACTATGACTGACACATTACTGTGAAGCTGGAACTAACTAACTATGACTGACACATTACTGTGAAGCTGGAACTAACTAACTATGACTGACACATTACTGTGAAGCTGGAACTAACTAACTATGACTGACACATAACTGTGAAGCTGGAACTAACTAACCATGACTGACACATTACTGTGAAGCTGGAACTAACTAACTATGACTGACACATTACTGTGAAGCTGGAACTAACTATGACAGACACATTACTGTGAAGCTGGAACTAACTATGACTGACACATTACTGTGAAGCTAGTACTAACTAACTATGACTGACACATTACTGTGAAGCTGGAACTAACTATGACAGACACATTACTGTGAAGCTGGAACTAACTATGACTGACACATTACTGTGAAGCTGGAACTAACTAACTATGACTGACACATTACTGTGAAGCTGGAACTAACTAACTATGATTGACACATTACTGTGAAGCTGGAACTAACTAACTATGACTGACACATTACTGTGAAGCTGGAACTAACTATGACTGACACATTACTGTGAAGCTGGAACTAATAAACTATGACTGACACATTACTGTGAAGCTGGAACTAACAAACTATGACTGACACATAACTGTGAAGCTGGAACTAACTAACTATGATTGACACATTACTGTGAAGCTGGAACTAACTATGACTGAAACATTACTGTGAAGCTGGAACTAACTAACTATGACTGACACATTACTGTGAAGCTGGAACTAACTAACTATGACTGACACATTACTGTGAAGCTGGAACTAACTATGACTGACACTTTACTGTGAAGCTGGAACTAACTAACTATGACTGATACATTACTGTGAAGCTGGAACTAACTAACTATGACTGAGACATTACTGTAGGCTCTAGTGTGTGCAGTCAATTCAATGACCACTCATCCTCCCCAGATAAGATTCTACTATCATATGTATGGTGCTGGTCAAGGCCAACTGACCCTGTACCTACGGTCCACTACAACCAACACAATGCAGCAGTTAGGTCAGTACTTCACTGCACCTTATGACTCCTGGAGATTCAGCAACAGCAGACTGACTTCAAGTGACAACTTTCAGGTACACTCTGTCATACCAAGCCTGTTTCAGTTGACTGTTTCTTAACATATATGGTCTGTCCTAACAAATACTGCAGATTCAGAAAATGGCCAGAGATAACGGGGGGTGCCTTGTGCAATTAATTGCATGTGCAACTACTGATCTGTTGTAACTGCTCCTTCCATTGAGGATTTCTAGTATCAAACTGTTTGTGTTGGCACTTCTGATGGCTGCCTTATGCATTTAATGTGTGTATGCTATTGGCTTGCTGAGAATGCATTCTGTGTCAAGTTTGTTCACAACGGACAGGGATGGACATTCTTTGTGGTTTTTATGGCACAGGGTCGGAGAAACTATGGGGTGACTTATTTGCTCTGAGGTCGGAACTGCTATTTCCTGATTACCTAACAAAACTGGACAATCATCTCTGTTGACACTGCCTGCTCTCTAGTAGTGTTTGTATAGTCTTTGTGCTATAATACAACACTAACACCTTTCTTTTAGTCATCCTATGTCTGTGTTTCCACTAATGTGCAAGGCATTGGATGAAAAAACCTCTATCTAATTTTCTATTATCATGAAGTAATAGCTAAATGGATCTGTTCCCCTCCCCCACCCCCCCCCACCCCCCACTAAAATTTACTGTAATTGGTGGTTCGGTTCTCATAAATCTGCCCAACCAAAGTAGGTAGCTTTTCATTCACAAATTTTTTGGGCTGGTCTACTTTCCCTTAGGTTACGGGTGTGTCCCGCTCTGTTGTTTGCTTTCTGCTTTGTCTTGCATTTACGTTAACCTTCTGAGAAAAAGAATGCCTGTGACATAGGTTGCAGCACTCTCTAGGGGGTGTGTTAGGGCCAGTTTCTTCATGTTTTTGGAGTGTTAAAAGCGCTGGCATGCTGAAATATACAAACGTGATATCAACGGCATTGCAGAACACCATTCTGACCTTGTGCAAAAGTCACGGGGCTCAGGAACTACCAGTCAGAAGTGAGTTAGTGTGTATAATAGGGGGAGGGCCAGGGAGACTAACGTTACGTATTCCTAATTGGTTAATGTAACTCACTTTCCTTTAAAGTGTGGGATCAGCGGGTGACTTGATGTCTGAATCTCCATTAAAGTGTGGGTTCAGTGGATAATTAGAGATCTCCTTTTACATTCAAGTGTGAGGCAGTAGATGAATAGACCTCTAGCTGAAAGATTTGTGGAAGGACTCCTGCCTCTGATGATCAGAAACCATCTTTGTTGTGCCCACTTCCCATTGGAGTTTACGATTATAACAAACAATATTCTTAATTTGATTAAATGTCAGCCATAAACAAATTACCTGTTTTTCTGTTGTATGGTAATGAATCTTGGAATGTAAGCAAACAAATTTGGAAGAGTTTGGAGGCAACTCAGATGTGGTTCTTGAGAAGAAAGTTAAGAATAGCTTGGACTGCCAGAATAACCAATGCCTGGAAATGGCTGATGAAAGTAGATCATTATATACAACAATGAGAAGGTGACAAACAAAGTTCTGTAATGAGAAAAGGGGCACTAGAAAATATTGTGACGACTGGAAAGATCGCCAGTAGAAGAGACAGAGGCAGACCAAGAGAAATTATGGTGGATGGCTTAAGACAGTGGCACACATAAATGCTTACGCCAGCTGGTAAGGCACTTGATGATGATGACCTTGTTACATTACTGTTTGTATCTGGACAAAATTATTTGTAAGGTTTCCAATATTTCAAACATTGCACTGAAACAGCACCTGTTTCAAGGGAAGCAAAAACACAAAACACTGCGTTTTTTACTTTTTCATCCGAGTCACTGGACCTAAGAGACATCATAGCACTCGGGACACTCCTATAAGCGCTCCGTTCCCATCTTCAGCACAAGCGAAGAGTTTAAATTCTGATGGTACCAGTAACTGTCTGATTGTATATCTATCTCGCCTTTCCCCTGAGTGTCAAGTGTCTGCCAGATCCCCTTGTAACTCCTTGCAGTGCCATTCTTCTCAGACCGTAATGATCTATCTGTTCCTCGGCACTGTTCACTCGCTCCCAAAGGGTCCTCACAACATTCAGCTTGTCATAAAGCAGTTCACCACCAAGTGGTGCAGAACCAGCCAGTCTATCTGCCTGCTCATTTCCCAACATTCTCCAGCATTCCCTGGAGAAAATATCCAAAGGATGCTAACTACCCGGGACCTCTGAAGTAATCAGATCTGTAAAATGGATGTGTACGCAAAGCTCAAGTTCTGGAACAAGACAAAATCCATAAGTGATTAAACAACCAGAACTTTCCGCTGAAGTTTACAGCCAGTAAACTCTAATCAGAAGAAGAAGGTATGGTTTCTGGAAGGAAAGGCAGCAGTTGACCAGCACTACAGTTGACAAAAGATACCATGGACATCCTAGGCATGAAAGTTCAAGAGTTGGGAAAACTGGCCAAAAACTGATTTGATGACCATCATGTCTTGATGAAAGCCACATTCTGCAAAGGATCTGCTACATTATGATAATGATGCTGAATGCTTAGATTAAACTTTTAGGAAGACAATTATGTGAAAAAATGTGTGCAATCATAAAAACACATAAAAGACCAACATGAACATTCTGTAGCAACTTCACTTGCCATTTGGTTCTAAATACTCAGTCCCAAAGTAGTTTCCCCTAAAGATAAAATTGAGGAGAATAATCAATGATTGCACACTAAGGAAACAATATATCCACAGTGCTAATGGCACAATGTTATCAAGATTGTTTAATTATTCACAGTACAATCTCTATCGCAATCACAATGTAAATTAAAGCAAGATGGGAAACTATACAAACTGTATTTTGGTCATATAAGTAATTACATGATAAATAAATTTAGTTAACAAATATATACTCTGAGAACTGTGTATCCCAGTTATAACCCTGAGGATTAAACAGGATATTCTTGAGAAATTACTACTACTATTTGAAGTTCTTTGCCTACACCACAAAAGTCGTTATTTACAGGCAGCACTGGCAGTATTGTTTTTTTTTGTTTTGTTTTTTGTTTAAATAGTGTAATGAACTTGTAACGTCTTAAGCTTATCTAGGTTTTGCATTGTTTGACCACTTTTTTAGATTGTGTTTGAAGGCAAAGTTGTGGGACAACGATCCACAGACATAGGGCTTGATGACATCACATTCACACCTCAGTGTCAGCTTAAAAGCCCACGTGAGTTCCATCAAATTATATATATATATAATATATGTATATATATAAATATAAAGTAAATCAACGAATCTTTTTCTTTGTGTGTGCCACTAGTGCATCAGTATATGATGCTTGACTCAAATTTGTATAGACCAATCAGCACTTGATGGGTAACAGGGTCAATGTCCTACTGGCCACCTTTACTTTCCAGGATATTATCTAAACCTATTATAGGCTAAGTGAACTTGGTCTGGTCCGTGCTCTACGACCATTCAGCTCCTTGTTTGTACAGTTTTTACCTCTCTGTCCTCTGAATTTCTCGCTGTATGCCCAGCCATTTCAGTTTATTAGCCCTCATGATGCCAGTGATCTATGATCAGACAGCTATTGTTTTTCTTATTTAACCTGTGTATCTAGTAGATGTTTTATATAAACTGATTCACCGCACAATGTCTGTGGGTAAGTTTTGTTGCTAGTTACAGCACACTAATAGAAATTTACCAAAATATCTTGCTAGGATGAAAGCCACTCATTGCTAACCCTTTCAGTTCCAGGTCAACGTCATCAAGTGCTTTGCCAACTCAGTGATCATGCCTCTCCACAGTCTGTGATTCATCACTGGGTGTATCAGTTCATGTGTTGACACCCCTCCATGGGATGTTGAAAATCTTCTAATACTGTTTTCCTCTGTTCTGTTTCTCTTTCCACACATTTTTCCAGTTGTCACAACATGTTCCAGATTCCCTCTTCTCATAAAATGACCAAAGAATCATGACTGTCTCTTTCTGATGTTTGAGATAAGTTGTCTTTGAGAGGTATGTCTCTTTAGACAATGGCTATTGGAGTTAAACCATAAACAAATGGGTGAAAGACAAGAGGAAATCACCACTGTATTTTCCCTAGTAAATCATGCCTTTAAACCAGTCTCAGGTAGCTAATAATTTGAGGCTGCCTATCCCAGAGTGTGAATATTTAATGGAAACACTTTTAGAATATTATTGAGGTTACATAATATATGTAACACAGAAAGAGTAAAGTCTTTAAAAAAAGAGAAAAGAAAAAGAATAAAGTAGGTGACTGTAACAGAAGAATGGCAGAGAAGAAGTTCAGTAATGTTTACATCACATAAAGTAATTAATAAACATACAGTGTGTTCACTGGTACAGAAAAAAGCTTGCAGTTTTGTTCTTTAACTTCGTGAGTCCCAGATAACGCATCATACGTTCATAGGTTCTTACCTAGAAGCCCAATAAACGCATGATGTGTTGATTTTAGTGACTTTTTACTACCCATTGGGCCTGTGATGCTAACACCGCTGGGACTCAAAGAGTTAATTTGTGTAAATTTTCAGTATTTATTTATTTGTTGCTAGTTATGTGCGTTTTTGAGACAGAAATAATTTTTACAGTTTCAAACAAACAGGAGCAGTTTAGTTTGTCTATGATTATTTATTTTGCTGAGAAACAAAATAACAAAATAATACATTTTTACTACAATACAAATTTAGAAAATTAATCATTTTACTGCATGACAATATATCAGCACAAAACAGGCTCGTGATTTAATACAAAAAGGTGCTAACCAGAACAGTCTGACCACCTGACACTGCCAGATTTTTACTTGTTGCCTGACATGTGTTCATTACCCAAATAGTATTGATTCTTTGGACATTATAAAAATTGTGAAAAAAAGAGCCATGATAGGTTTTAAAGAAAGGATCAACTGTATTAACTTTGACAAAAGAGGGAAGCTATAACAGAATTATGGGTTAAAAAAAAAACAAACAAGTGTAAATAATTTTGTTGTCACTGGTTAGTATATAATAAGTGAATGGGAAATAGGATACAAGTATTCATTAGAATGTCTGCTCAGAACAGAGTAAAATAGAATGGCAAAATCACTAGCTCAAAAGTTAAGATAAGGACTTAACAAATTAGAGCAAATCTAAAGTGAAGAGTAGATGCTGATGCTGAATATGGCACTCACTGACAAAACATTATGGAAAAACTAGAATTTTCTTCAGCTGAAACCCATGGAGAAAAAGGAAACCTAAAAAATTGCATGAGAGGATCATAAGAGACAGAGAAAATGTATATTTGGAAACATAGCTGCAGGACATGACACACATTGAAAAAGCCTTATAAGTGAAAAATTAGAATTCCCTTTAACTGGAGCCCACAGAGCAGAAAAACATAAGGGAAAACCTAAAAAAACACATAAGAAGATAAAAAAACTGGAACCCACAGAGAAAAAAAGATCAGGGAAACCGTAAAACTCATGAGAAGATAATTAGAGACAGAAGATAATGATATCTGGAAATAATGGCGGTGCTGCAAGAAATGTCAAAAGATAAGAAGGTTTGGTATGGGAATGCCTATGTGCCCATGTAGGATAAATAACAAGAATAAATTCCAGGAACCTGATGAAGCTGACTTGTATGTATTGATTACCAATTGACATTACACTTTAACACACTGTATTGGCGTTAGACACTTTACATTATTATATTTAACGTCGGAGTACATCTGCCGGAGAGGCGGGGAACGAGTACTGCAAACAAATAAGCCAGTAAAACGGATGTACACGCAAAACTCAGGTCAAGGTAAAAGCCAAAAGTCCATTTTGGACGAACAACCATGACTTACCGCCGGAATTCACAGCCGGTGAACAAGAAGAAGAAGAAGAAGAAGAATTATATTTAACAGATGTCATTATTGTTCAATACTACTCAACAGTTGTATGTGTTGTTGTTTATATCTTTTTACATTTCTTAGATACAAAAATACCAGTAAAAACCAAGACATCTTCTACACACAGTGGAGTTACAGCCAAATCTAGTATAACAGTTCCACCTGGTACAGCTAAATCTGGTGTAACGATTCAACCTCAAACGCCAGCTAAATCTAGTGCCACCGTCCAAACTGGCATTACAGCTAAAACTGGGGTGACATCCAGATCTGCTACAACGGGCAAACCTAGGCCACGGACTACAGGAAGCCTATCAACTGGAGTATACAATGCTGCACAATCTAGTTCAAGTAATGTGAAATAGAATATTGCAAAATGTGCTGAAATGTTATTGTAATGGTAGCAGTTTAATGTTGAGAATACCCTGGACAGATAACAAGAGTTATGAGTATGTCTTGAAAGAGACTGACTCACAAAAAGATCTCACTGTCCACATCAAAAAAAGTACATCGTGACCATAGGAAAGTTTGAAGAGGAGGAGAGGCAGAGGAAGATTGAGAAAAAAGATGCTGGATAACAGTTTGACAATAGTTTGACATCATGGCATGGAAGATCTTCTGTGTCAGAGTTAATTGAAAGTTCACTAGATAGAAGGTTGTGGATAGACATGACTACCAACGCCTCATGGCATGGAAGATCATCTGTGTCAGAGTTAATTGAAAGTTCACTAGATAGAAGGTTGTGGATAGACATGACTACCAACACCTCATGGCATGGAAGATCATCTGTGTCAGAGTTAATTGAAAGTTCACTAGATAGAAGGTTGTGGATAGACATGACTACCAACACCTCATGGCATGGATTTTAACTCTTTCAGTCCGAAGGAATGCATCATACATTCATAGGTTCCTACCCAGAAGCTCAAAGAATGCAAGATGAACTGATTTTACATATGTCTTTTCTATCCCTTGGACCTTTGGTGCTAAATCCCCTGGGACTGAAAGAGTTAAGAAGAAGCAGTTTAACTGACATTTGGTCATTTTCATTGCTGATTTATAGATACTAGAAGTTCATCATCATCATCATCATCATCATCATCATCATCATCATCATCAAGTGTCTTGCTGGCTGGCGTGGGTGATCATGATCATGCATATCCATAAACTGTGATATTCAACAGCCTTTCACAGCACATGTGCTGACACTACTACCTACCTTAACAAAAAGCTGTCAAGATTCTTCTTACACTGTCTTTCTCTGTCTCTCTGTCCACAAATCTTTCCAGTGATCACAACATGCTCCAATTTTTTTGCCTCAAAACATGGCAAGAAAATGATGACTGTCTCCTTCTGATGTTTGTGATATGTTGTCTTTGGGCTAGCACCTCTTTCAAAACATATTATTTACTTCTTTTGGTTCTCCAAGGAATTTTAAGCATTCTTCTGTAAAACCATATCTCTGAGCCTTCAAGAAATTGTTTGGCTAAATATTACATAAATTAAATACAATGGAACAACACACCCATTCATTGTCATTACCAGAAATCAGAACACTTATCAAGGGAAAATACAAGGAATTATGGAGAGGACTAACTAACAGTAAACATCCACAAGACCCCATCAGCAAACTCAACAGAAAGCAACATACAAAAATTTTCCGTCTGCGAACAGGAACCTGCAGGCTAAACTACCACATACCTAAAATAAAGATTGTACAGTCCCCACAGTGTGCCTGTCAAACAAGGCCATAAACGCTGCAGCACATTCTGCAGACCTGCCCACTCTACATACAACTTTGAAAATAAACCTGGCCTCAAGAGCAAAAGTGTGCAGAGCAAGCTATGGGGAACCATGAAGGACCTGCTGCTGACATGCAAGTTCATAGTTGAGTTGGGTTAAAGTGAGTCAAGAACTGACATCCCAGCACTTGGGGCATTCCCATACACACTCCATCCCCATCCTCAGCAGCCACGCAGAGTTCCAACACTAATAATGCCAGTCATAGTCTAGTTGTATTTCCATCTTGCCTTTCCTCTGAGTGTAGTGTGCCGGTTGGACCCTCTGGTTACACCCAGGTCATAGAGTGTATAGAGGAAACCCACTTTATGGTCTGATCTGAATGTATGAAACCAAACACAAAGAAGAAGAGAAGAAATACAATGGATCATCGAAGATAAATATCATTACATAAAGTAGTTTACTCTTCATTTTCAATTTTTTTTAATTAAACAATTTTTTTTTCTATAGGACAAATCAATGACCGTCATATGGTATGGCTTTTTTTAATAGGACATGTTCTTGGGACAGTGCTTGAGTTAAGAAATGACCTTACAAAATTTTCAATTTTCAATTAAGAATCGACATCACAGCACTCAGGACACTCCCATAAGTGCTCAGTCCCCATCTTCAGCAGCAAGTGACGAGTTCCTATTTCGATGGTACCAGTAACCGTCTGATTTGTATAACTGTCTCATTCTTTCCCTAAGTGTTGAGCATCAGTCAGATCCCCTGGTAACTCCTTGCAGCGCTATTCTCCTTAGACTGTAATGATCTATCTGTGCCTCTGTACTATTCACTCACTCCCAAAAGGCCCTCACAATATCTAACTTGTCATACACTATTTCACCACCAAGTGGTACAGAGCCAGCCAGTCTATCTACTTGCTCATTTCCCAACACACCAGCATGACCTGGAGAAAATAACCAAAGGATGCTAACTACCCGGGACCTCTGAATTGATGCTTGCCACTCTGCACAAAGCATGTCTGTTTTCACCTTTCTCAACATGCTCTGTGAGTCAGTTACAACCACGGCATGTGTGTACAGCTGATTCTCAAGCCAGCGGAAGACAGCAGAGACTGCCTCCATCTCCATTCTCAAACTAGACATTGTGAAACGACCTTACAGAGCCTAAAGAATCCCTTCAAGTGCTTGCTCTGTTCCATCTTCAGCAACCAGCACAGAGTTCCAATACTAATAGTATTGGTTATAGTCTGATCATATGTTTAATTTGCCCTTCCTCTGAGCATTGAGTGTCTTCCAGATCCTCTAGTCATTCCCTCATGTGGTTTAGAGTCTGTTGACTGTGGATCTTCCTGTAACTTTTCAGTTCAAACCTCCAGTGTTCTTCTTTAGTTTTTAGAGTTTCTGCCTCTCAGGTGGATGCACTCTGGCTTTGAAGGAAGCTCCCAGTTATCTGACTCTTACAACATGCTTTTGGGTAGGCAGTGGGTTTATTCTTGTTTTTTCCACAAGTCACATGGGGATTAAACAGAGTTAACCTCAGTTTTTTTTTTTTTAATTTCTCTGCTTGTATGGAGATTTAAACACATGACCATCAGCCAGTAGGTGAGCATGCTAGCATTGCTAGCCACTGTACTAGAGCAGCTCTCACTTTTATTAAAAGTGAAATATGATTACTTACTTCCCATGTGGCTTACACAGCCCCATTTGGAAGGGTGAGGGAGAGGAAAGGGGAAGGGAAAGGAAATGGGTGTGGGGGAGACAGACTCACTGCCACCCTAACAAGCATGTCGTAAAAGTTTTCTAATTAGATGTATTTCCTTCAAAGTCAGACTGCATCTGCCTGAGAGGCAAGGACCAACAGTCTGCATAAAAAATAATGTATTTGGGACAGTCTTGGAGGACATGATAGTTCTATAAAACAGGTGTGCACACAGAACTCAAGTACTTGAACAAGAGGTGTACAAATAACCATAACTTTCCGCCGGAGTTTACAACTGCTAAACAAAGGAAGGAAATGGTTTCTTACTTATCATTATTTGTAAGAGTTACTTTGTTGTCTTCACATTTATACATTTTTGGCCACATATCTATCCATGTAAATTTCTCCATTAGGTGACTCGTGGAAAGTTCCTGTTGGTGTTGTCCTAGGACTTCTAGCACTTGTGACCATCATAGGTGGTGTGGTGATCTATTTAAAGCGTACACAGAGACTGTAAGTTCTTTTGTGAAGTAACTCTTTGTATTTTTTTATTTTTTTATAGGGAGTTTAGAAATTCAGTTACAGATAAACTGTCTAATATTATAAATGATAAGTATTTTCAGGATATCATTAGGGTGGAGGATATAAAATATGTATTGCAAAAAAGCAAAAGACACTGCGTCAGGGCTAGACAGAGTCAGATATACCCACATGAAGAGCATGAGTGATGACGACTTGAGGGAGATGGCATTTCACATGAAGATAATTGCTGCTGAACTACATATGTTTTTGGAAATGAAAGAGCTGCTGCCAAAAGGTTTGGGTAGTTACCGGCCATGGAAAGATACATGGGCAAATGCAGCAATTTTAGCTTTTGATGATTATGAGGGTGTTCCAGAACAGACAGGAGACAGTTATGACAGCACTTGATCTTGAGGATGCCTTCAATAAAGTCAGATATGATATTTTGAAATCTGCACTCTCAGAGAAGGGAGTTTGCCCCTGGCTTGTGAGCTGGATAGCAGCTGTCCTGTATTCATGTATGGTTGCCCTTTGCCTGGGTACATGGACTTCAGAACCATGTAATATCACCCCGGGACTACCCAGAGTTCTGCAATTTCACCAGTTTTCTTCAAAGTGAATACAAGCAAGATTGCAGAACTTAAAGCACCAGGTGTTGGAAGGATATTAACATTTGCTGATGATGTCGTTGCATATAGGCAGGGGAGTAATAGACAACGAATAGCCCAGGAGCTGCAGGCAACTGTAGACAAAATGGCTGACTGGTGTGTAGAAATGGGTGCTGTCATCAATCCAAAGAGGCAGCTGTTTTGTAGTGCTCTCTGGACCACATAATTGTGAGAGATAATGTTCCAAGCCTCACAATTAATAACAGTAACATCAAAAGAGAAAGCAAACCGAGGTACCTAGGTGTCAGACACCTTTTATAGGTGTGACACAAGTACAATTGTTATTTTTTTTTGCCAAGTGTACCCACACTTCCATGATCATGTAAACGCTGATGACCTTGTTCCAGTTCTTAAATAATGTTTATTTAAGAACTCTTGATAATTGCAAAGTTAGTATGTTTATTTAAGAACTCATGATAATTGCACAGTTAGTATGGCTTCCACACAACGTTATCGACTACTGAGTAGCCACAGATTTTATTCTTATGGTTCACAAGCACACTAATCTCAGATAGTCACTGGCTAAATACATCAACAGTATGATGGTATAGCTGATCACAAACTCATCCTCGCAAAATGAAAAAAGTCATGAGAGGCTAGCTGATGCCTCTATAGCAATAATTCTGTATCCTCCTAACTACTACACTTAACTTTATAATCCGGCTATACAACAGAATAACCACTACTGTTCTGTTCACAGTTTTAAATCCAGTCCATTCCAAGCGAAAAACAATTCCCATCTTTTAAAAGGGCCCCAAACAAACACATCCGTTTACTGGACTGTCCAACTACTAACTGCCGTGTGTCACTCTACCTGTTTGTCCAGTCCCCCTGTAACCTCCCCACTCAGTTACCTGTATCATTTTTAATAGAAGCCTATCCTTTATGGATCATGTTGACGCAGTTGCATGTGAAATGCCAAAAAGGACTCAGTGCTCTCAAGGTTATGGCAGCAATAGACATGGAACAAAGAATGCTGTTCACAATGTTCCAGTATGTGATCCTGCCCGTGATAGATTATGGGCTCAGAATGCTTACCATATCAAAGAGTCAGCTGATGAAACTTGAATGCATACAGAATGAAGCCATGCAGTTAATTCTGGGATGTAAAAAAAGTACCCCACTATTATGTATGGGATATATATTTGCACTGCCTACTATTGCTGACAGGCTCAAAGTTCTGCAGGCAAAGTCATGTCTCAGAGTAGCTGCAGACTAGAGGCACCTCCTGCATGAAGCCGTGGGTGATTGGTCACAGACTGAACAGAGAAAGGTCTTGGATAGCGCAAGCAGATAACACAATTGGACATGTGTGCAGTCTCAATAAAATCGGGTGAAGAGAGGAGTGGGTCAGGGTGTCGGATCAGGTTTAGGAGTTGTGTAAGGTTCTAATCCCTTTAGGTCATGAGTGCTGGTGCTGCAGAATCAGAAGTTTAACAAATGATTCATGGTCATTCCCACCCAAATGATGTAATTATCTATACAGATGGCTCTGTGTTGAGAGGCAGATGAAGTGCATGGGTTTCATAACAAAAGCGAATGGACCTCGCTTTGTGCAACAAAGCCTTGCATATGATGTCACAATGTCTAGTTTGAGAATGGAGGTGCAGGCAGTCACCAATGCCTTCTGCTGGCTTGAGAATCAGCTATACACACATGCCATGATTGTAACTGACTCACAGAGCATTTTAAGAAAAGTGGAGACAGGCATGCTCAATAAAGAGTGGCAAGCATCAATTCAGAGGTCCCGGGTACTTAGCATCCTTTGGATATTTTCTCCAGGTCATGCTGGTGTGTTGAGAAATGAGCAGAAAGATAGACCAGCCAGCTTTGCACAACTTGATGGTGAATTGATAAATGACAAGCTAGATATTGTGAGGGCCCTTTGGGAGTGAATGAACAGTGTGAAGGCACAGATAGATCATTACTGTCTGAGGAGAATGGCGCTGTGAGGAATTACCAGGAGATCTGGCAGACGCTCAGCACTCAGGGGAAGAGTGAGACAGATATACAATCAGTTACTGGTGCAATCAAAATTGGAACTCTTCACTGTTGAAGATGTTGATGGATCGCTTATGAAAGTGTCACGAGTGCTGTGATGTCGATTCTAAATTCAACAATCAACATATGTGTATTTATATAAGGTGTGATCAAAAGGTTTTTAGGCAACTTTCATTTTAAAAATATAAGTTCTTGCATGTGCATTATTTTTAATTTGTTCTTTCTTTTGTAAGAAATCTGCTTTGTGTCACTGGGCATTGTTTAACAAATGACAGATGACCAAGCTAAGGTGTGCTGTATTGCTCAGTATGTTGTTATGCCATGAAGTACTAAATACAACAGAAAATGTGACCAGAAAGCTCAGCAAAAGGAGTGAAAAAGGCATGCACAAATATAAATGAACATTTTGACCAAAGTCTTTATCAACAGATCACTGAATACAATACAAATTGTGGCTGGGAAAACTCAACAGACAAGACAACCATGCTTGTAAACAACCAAGGTCAACATAAAACCAAAAAATATGTAACAGGAAAAAAACATGCACATGAATAGTTTTATTACAAAACAAAATAAATAACCAAGTGGTTGATCCTTGTAGGACTGGGAATGCCAAATCTGAATGAAATGTTTTCTAAGGAGCAGTGGCTGATTTGATCACCGGAGCAAGATTTTTTAGTAGTTACTGAGATATTGCTTTTACCTTGGTGGTCAGAACTATTGAAATGGAGGGAGCCTCATTGTGAATATCATTAGGATGTTCACAGAAACAATCTGCTAATTTCCTACTGGATTTACCATTTACTTTTCCCGTCAATTTGTATTGTATTAAGTAGGGCTGTACCAAATATTCGCTTCGTATTTGCTTCAGGGCCGAATAGTGGACCTGTTGACTATACGGTATTCGGCCGAATAGTTGTGGTCGGGCCGAATACGAATAGTAGTTACCTTACACCCGCTTCTGCATACACGGCTTTAATGCTGACAACATGGAAGGATTGGCTTTGTTGAAAGCTAATACAGCTTTCCTGCATTAACTAAGCTGTCAGTTACAATTTCCAAGCTTAGTTACTTGTTATATTACTTAGGATTCTTTCATTCCTAGTTATTAGTTACCACAGACTGACTGAAGGATGCAAAACATAAAATGTTTTTAAATGTTTACTATTCTGTACGAATACTAACTAGCCATGGAAAGAATATAAACTCCACATCCAAGTCGATAATATGAAAATCAAACGAACGGAAACATATAAGTACTTGGGTGCAAACTTCAACTGCTCCAACATGCTGAGAGAAGAAATACAGTCTAGAATACAATCTAGAAATAAAGTATACTATGCCCTTCAACATCTGTTAAAGTCAAAGTGTCTGTCTCGCAACACCAAGATCAAAATATATAAAAGGTTGATAAGACCAGTCATTTTATATGGCTCTGAAACTTGAAGCAGAAATAAAAGAAATGAGGCCTTATTAAAGGCTTTTGAAAACAGTCGTACGATAAATCTTTGGACCCATCAAAGATGCTAACAGCGGGGAACCTGAACCTGCACACAACTGGTGTCACAAATTGTGAAGATAAGGCCAGACAGAGAGATGAATGGAGACAAGTGATATCTGCAGCAGTAAACTCAAGGGCTCAGAATGATAAAGAAGAAGATGATTTTTCTGTGCTTCATTATATGAAGTAAAGGTTCAGCGTACATTTGACTTTATGATTGTGTGTGTGTGTGTGTTTTAGATATATTTTATACACTATTCGTATTCGTATTCAGCCGAATAGTTGGTCCCGCTATTCGTATTTGGCCGAATAGTGAAAATTACTATTTGGTACAGCCCTAGTATTAAGTATTCTGTTGATAAAGACTTTGGCTGAAACATTCGGTTGTATTTGTACTTTTCCATTCCCTCTTTTGAGCTTTCTAGTTGCATTTTGTGTTGTATTTAGTATTTCCTGTCATTAGCTCACTGAAGTCACCCCTTATTTACATCATCATTACTGATTTTATGAGTTTGTCTTGGTTTGTCAATGATTCGTTTGATCAATCTTCTTGTATATGTTTTTATTTTGAATTTATTCTTGTACCTGTACTGATTTTTCTCATAAGCAGCTGTTTACAATGTCTCTTATCTTGGCTTCGAATGTGGCATAGACGTGCTTCATCATGCTTTACTCGCAGGTCATTCAATCTTGTTAGTGTCAATGATTCATCATTTTCTACTAGCCCTGTCCGAACAATGTTGATCTTCTTCTTTTTCTTTGCGTTCACTAGCTGTAAACTCTGGCGGAAAGTTCTGGTTGTTCGTCCACTTCTGGACTGC